GAAAGAGTTGGTGGTTTCTTTTTTTTTTTTTCTTTTTGAGATGGAGTCTCGTTCTGTCACCAGGCTGGAGTGGAGTGATGAGATCTCAGCTCACTGCAATCTTCACTTCCCAGGTTCAAGCAATTCTCCTGCCTCAGCCTCCCGAGTAGCTGGGACTACAGACGCATGCCACTGTGCCCAGCTAATTTTTGTAATTTTTTTTAGTACAGGCGAGGTTTCACCATGTTGGCCAGGATGGTCTCGATCTATTGACCTGGTGACCTGCCCACCTCGGCCTCCCAAAGTGCTGGGATTACAGTTGTGAGCCACTACACCCAGTCGAGTTTGGCAGTTCCTACAAAAACATGAAACATAGAATCAGCACATAATCCAGCAATTCCACGTCTGGGTGTATCCCCAGAAGAAGTGAAAGCAGGGACTAGAACAGATATTTGCACACCCATGCTCATAGCTGTGTCATTCACACAACTAAAACATGGAAGTAATCCAGGTGTCCATCCATGGATGAACGGATCAACAAAATGTGCGCTATCCATATAATGGAATATAATTCAGCCCTTAAAAGGCAAGAAATTCTGACACACACTACAGCGTGGATGAGCCTCTGAAGACATTACGCTCAGTGAAATAAGCCAGTGAGTACCTGTAGTCCCAGATACTCAGGAGGCTGAGGCAGGAGGCTCACTTGAGCCCAGGAGGTCGAGGCTGCAGTAAGCCATGACTGCACCACTGCACTCCAGCCTGGGCAATGGAACAAGACCCTGTCTCTCTCCTTTTGATATGATTAGAAAAAAGAAAATAATTTAAAAATTTTTTTTTAATAAATAAATAAATAAACCCCCCCCATCTCTAAAAATAAAAGATAGGCTGGGCTTGGTGGCTTGGACCTGTAATCCCAGCACTTTGGGAGGTCGAGGAAGGTGGATCACTTGAGGTCAGGAGTTCGAGACCAGCCTGACCAATATAGCAAAACCCTGTCTCTACTGAAAACACAAAAATTAGCGGGGTGCAGTGGCTTTAAATGGATCCCTTTAATCTCAGCTACTGAGGAAGCTGAGGCAGGAGAATGGCTTGAACCCAGGAGACCGGAGGTTGCAGTGAGCCAAGATTGCACCACTGCACTCCAGCCTAAGTGACAGAGGGAGGCTCCATCTCAAAAAATAAAAATAAAAAAATTAATAAAAGATAAAATAATATTAACAAGCCAGTCACGAAAAGACAGAATACTGCAGGATTCCATTTACATGAGGCCCCAAGAGTCATCAAATCCACAGACACAGAAAGTAGAGGGGTGGGTGCCAGGGCCTGGGAGAGGGGACAGGGCATTATTTAATGGGTGCAGTTTCAGCTTTGCAAAAAGAAGAGGTTTCTGAGATGGGTGGTAGCGATGGAAACAACAACGTGAATACACTTAACGCCACTGACTTGTTCACTTAAAAAATGGTTAAGGGCCGGGCGCGGTGGCTCACACCTGTAATCCTAGCACTTTGGGAGGCTGAGGTGGGTGGATCACCTGAGGTCAGGAGTTCAAGACCAGCCTGGCCATCATGGTGAAACCCCATCTTAAAAAAAAAAAAGTGGTTAAGATGGTCAATGCAATGGTATGTACACTTTATCACAATAAAGAAAAAGGAAGGCCGGGCGCAGTGGCTCACACCTGTCATCCCAGCACTTTGGGAGCCAAAGTGGCAGGATCACCTGAGGTCAGGGGTTTGAGATCAGCCTCACCAACATGGCGAAACCCCATCTGTACTAAAAATACAAAAATTAGCTGAGTGTGGTGGTGGGCACCCATAATCCCAGCTACTCAGGAGGCTGAGGCAGGAGAATCACTTGAACCCGGGAGGTGGAAGTTGCAGTGAGCTGAGATTGCGCCACTGCACTCCAGCCTGGGCTTCAGAGCGAGACTCCATCTCAAAAAGAAAAAAAGGAACCATCAGAGACCAGAGCCAGTCCAGGCGGGGACTCTGGAGGCCAGGTGACCCTCCCCATCACTCAGATACCCGCCACAGCCCAGGGCTTAGCCCACACACATGCTGGACTCTCGCAGCCCAGCCCCTCTTCCAGCCTGCTCTAGGGTGGCCAGACCTTCCGCCTGCAGGTGGCCGGGACAGACTACTGCTCAACACACGTAGAAAGATGTCCTGGAGGCATGAGGACTCTGCCTGCTGACAATCCTAGACCTGTCTCCCCCAGAACAACCTTCACCCGGGCAGGAAGATGCTACTGCTATGTTATGCATGCGCTGGGTCCCTGTGGCTTCCATTCTCATTGTCTTTCACCCTCACTGACTTACAACGGACCCGAAGGCAGCCGAGGCTGTGAATGTGGGAGCCACTGGCCTTCCAGACAAACCTCAGTTCAAGCCCCCATCACTGGCTCCAAAGCCAGCAGGCACAGCAGAAGGCATGAGAAGACAGACATAAAAACAGAACCAGAGAAAAAAATAATGGCAGACTTAAGAGGTGACATATTAATAGTCACCTTAAATGAAAAGGCTCTTAGTTCACCAATTAACTCAGAGATTACCAGTGTGAATTAAAATACACACACACACACACACACACACACGCATGCGCACAGACAGAAAACCCAATTTGCTTAGCCAGGCATGGTGGCATGCACCTGTAGTCCCAGCTACTCAGCAGGCTGAGGCAAGAGGATCCTTTGAGCCCAGGAGTTGGAGGCTGCGTGAGCTATGACGGCACCACTGCACTCCAGCCTGGGAGACAGAGCAAAACTCCGTCTCAAAAAAAAAAAAAGGAGGCTGGGTGCAGTGGCTCATGCCGGTAATCCCAGCACTTTGGGAGGCTGAGGCGAGAGGATCACTTGAGGCCAGGAGTTTGAGAACAGGCTGGCCAACATGGCAAAACCCCGTCTCTACTAAAAATACAAAAATTAGCTTGGCATGGTGGCACATACCTATAATCCCAGCTACTTGGAAGGCTAGGGCATAAGAGATGAGTCACTTGAGCCTGGCAGGCAGAGGCTGCAGTGCGCCAAGATTGTGCCACTGCACTCCAGCCTGGGCAAAAGAGCACACTATGTCTCAAAAAAAAAAAATGAAGTATTCATATGTTCTGCAACATGGATGAACCTTAAAAATGATGCTGAAAAGAGCCAGACATAAAAGGCCACATATTGTATGGTTCTGTATACATGGAATGTCCAGAATCAGCAAACCCATAGATTAAGAAAGTAGATTCAGCAGGGCGCAGTGGCTCACGCCTGTAATCCCAGCACTATGGGAGGCTGAGGCTCACTTGAGGTCAGGAATTCAAGACCAGCCTGGCCAACATAGTGAAACCCTGTCTCTACAAAAATACAAAAATTAGCCAGGCATGCTGGCAGGCACCTGTAATCCCAGGTATGCGGGAGGATGAAGCAGGAGAATCGCTTGAACCCGGGAGGCAGAAGTTGCAGTGAGCCGAGATTGCGCCACTGCACTCCAGCCTGAGCCACAGAGGAGACTCTGTCTCACAAAAGAAAAAAAAAGAAAGACAATAAAAGTAGATTCACGGTTGGTGGAGGAGGGGGGAAGCAAATGCTAACGGCTTTCTTCTCCGGATGATGAAAATGTCTTAAAGTAAGACAGTAGTTAAGAGTTCCTCAACCTTGTTGTTACACTAAAAACCACTGAAGTGTGCACTTTAAAGGGGTGAACTGAGTCCAGACACGGTGGCTCACGCCTATAATCCCAGCACTTTGGGAGGCCAAGGTGGCTGGATCACCTGAGGTCAGGAGTTTGAGACCAGCCTGGCCAATATGCTGAAACCCCGTCTCTACTAAAAATACAAAAATTAGCTGGGTGTGGTGATCCATGCCTGTAGTCCCAGCTACTCAAAAGACTGAGGCAGAAGAATTGCTTGAAGCTGGGAGGTGGAGGTTGCAGTGAGCCGAGATCATGCCACTGCACTCCAGCCTAGGCTGGACAGTGCAAGACTCCATGTCAGACAAAAAAAAAAAAAAAAAAAAAAAAAAAGGTGAATTGAATGGTATGTGAATTATATCTCAATTTAAAAAAAAAAAAAACTCAGCTGGCACCACCGCCTGTCCCCACCCTGCATTGCAGTAAAGCTGTCCTTGCTGGCTGATGAGGGCTCTCCTAGTCTGCACCCCCTCCTCACCTCCAGACCCATGGCCTTGCTGCTCCTGGAACCCCAGCCCACCCGGTGCCTCTGCTCTTCTGTTCTCTGTGTGCCCAACACTTCCCCCCACACCTAGGTACCTGGCCCCTCACAGCCTTCACCTGCACCTTTACAGAGACCCTATCAGACCACCCAGCCCCCACCCTCCACATGCCCACCCCATGAACAGACTTCCTTTTCCCTGGCTCTCCTGAATTTCTGGCATACTATACGATTTCCTTATTTTTACTTATTTTTATTTTTTAATAGAGACAAGGTCTCGCTTTATTGCCCAGGCTGGTCTCGAACTCCTGGGCTCAATCAATCCTGCCTCAGCCTCCCAAAGTGTGGAGATGGCAAGCTGGGCCCCCGCGCCCACCACAACCTTCTCTTCTGGAGCGTGTCGCTTTTGTACTGATGATGTAAACTCCGGGCACGCGGGGACCCTCTCGCTTTGTTCACTAATTTGTCCCTAGCCCCTACTACCCGGCACGGTAGGCGCTCAGTAATGTTGATTGAATAAATGACAGTTACTTTAGAAAGCAAATATTATTTAAATGACATTTTTAAACGCAAATAAACTTCTGGGTAGTGTTTTCGGTACACACACGATGTCCCCAAGGGCACCAAAGAACGCATTTCCACGTCTGTCCCTACACGTGAATGCCAAGTAATGTTAGTCACCAACAGATGAGAGGTCACGTGACGCGCCGGCCGACCCCGCCCCGCCCCGGCTCTGCCCGCAGTAGGGCCGCACCGCGGAAGGCAAACGGGTAGACTCAGCAGAGGCGCGACCACCCTCACTGCACAGAGCTGAGCCACCGGCGGCGTCTCCTGACATTCAAGGCCCCACTTCCCACCCGGAAAAGACGGGATCCGCCGGGCGCAGGTGCAGAGGCCGCGCCCATCCGCGGCGCCGCCACCCAGGGCGGAAACGGCTACGGCTTCGCTCGGAGCGCATGCGCGGGGTCCTCGGAGTTCTCGCGAGATAACGGTCGAAAAAGTGCCACGGTGGATTTCCGGTACCGGATTTGTCACCGCAGTGCCGGGCCCGGGGCGAGCGCGGGCGGAGCCTAAGCCGTGGGCCGGCGGGCAAGTGGCGAGACCCGGCCAGGGCCAGCGAGCCGAGGCCAGCGGGCGCGCGGACCATCGGGCCGCCGGCCGGCAGCGCCATGGACCCGTTCCTGGTGCTGCTGCACTCGGTGTCGTCCGGCCTGTCGAGCAGCGAGCTGACCGAGCTCAAGTTCCTGTGCCTCGGGCGCGTGGGCAAGCGCAAGCTGGAGCGCGTGCAGAGCGGCCTGGACCTCTTCTCCGTGCTGCTGGAGCAGAACGACCTGGAGCCCGGGCGCACGGAGCTGCTGCGCGAGCTGCTCGCCTCCCTGCGGCGCCACGACCTGCTGCGGCGCCTGGACGACTTCGAGGCGGGGGCGGCGGCGCCGGGGGAAGAAGGTGGGCGCGGGGGCCGGGTCGGGGGAGCCGGGGCCGGATCGCCGGGCTCGGGGGCCGCGAGGCTCCTCCCCACGGCCTCCAGGCGCCTCTCCTTTGCCAGGTTTGATTTGCGAGGGTTTTCTCTGCACCACCCTGGTTTTGCTGATGGGAGAGCCAGAAACGCAGTAAAGTTAACTTATTCAGGGTCACAGGACGTGGACACGCACAGTGCTTTTTCCTCCACCCCATTCTGTCTGGGTCAATAAGAAAACTCACTTTAGAAAAGGTGAGGAGGAGTCAGAGAAGGTGCGGACAGAGGTTAGATGAGCCTGCTCCCATCATCTCGCTTCTGCCTCGGAATTTGCCCAGCGAATGCCCTTCACGGCTGAGAGTTAATACTTCATTCAGTGACCCTTCCAGTCGTTAAACAGAACCTTCACCATAGCCCTGTGGCTTGGATATCGTTATCTGTCACTGCTCCCATTTTACAGAGGACAGGACGTGGCTCAGAGGTTAGGTGGCTTGCGGAAATGCGCAGCCGGTAACTTAACAGCTAGGCTTGAACCAAGCAGCCCGGCCTCCGGATGGGTGGCGGAGCCACTGCACTGCCTCTCTGATCAAGTTCATTGTGGACCGGCTTCCTGTCCTGCTCTCGGTCACTCCCTCTCCACCCTCGCCTGTGGCTTGCAGCAGCTTCCAGGATAAAAATGAGAACCCCTGAGTACAGCAGGATTTCTCAGCCCTTTCCCATTGTTCTCAGAGGCGGGGGAAGAGGCTTGGGAGTGGCCTGGGGACGCCCCTCAGAGGCGTCGAGCTGTGGCCTGCAATGAGCCATTCAGTCACAAGCCAGATGGGGCATAAATGTGATGCCATGGGTTTGACTCTCTAAGGACTGGTGCCCGTTCAGGACAAGGTGGACAGAACAGCTCTCTGCATTGAAGCAGTCAAGTCCAGATTTTAAAAATACGTTAACAGTGCTGAACAAACCAAACAGGATGTAGAAAAATCGGGTTTCAAGGGTATTTAATATCTGGAAAAACATTTGCATTTTAAAGGCAGCCCACGAAACATAGCTGACATTTGAGATATATGTGTGCTTGGTTTCATTTGTGTAGTTACTGTGTGTTGGAAAACGTACGCCAGAAGGTGAACAGTGGGCATGGACAGGTTGATAGTGGGTGACTCCTTTCCAGAAGTTCAGCATAACGGTTAACGGTGGCCTCTGGTGCCACACCGCCAGGGTTTCAGATCATGGCTCTTGTCATCGTATAGCTACACGATCTCGGGAATGTCAGTCAGCTTCCCTGTGCCTCAGTTTCCTTATCTGTACAGTCATGATAACAGGGTGCCCAGCCCATAGGGCTATCAGAGCTGTGGGAGCTGGTCCACCTGCCGACGATGTCTCCGAATTGCCAGGAGACGTCAAGCCACTTCCTGTCCCGGCCCTGCCTCTCCTTTCCTCTTTCCACATTCCAGAAACGGCCTGTTATAGTCCTGTGACCAGCTCCCTGATCTCAGTGGTGACTTCAGCAGATGAGGAGTATGGTAGCCAGGGACGAAAGACTGGTGGGCAGTCAGGGCAGCTTTCAAAATAAGAACTGGGGTGCCTGCTAGTTTCCTGTGATTGCCATAACAAATTACCACAAATCTGGTGGCCTAAACCAACAGAAATCTGCCCTCAGTCTGGAGGCCAGAAGCCTGAAGGAGCAGGATGTCTCAGACCCACACTTGCTCTCACACCGAGTACCCTGCGGGGAGACCCTTCCAGGTCTGCTTTGTGGTGGCTCCAGGCATTTCTTGACTGTGGCCACTTCCCTCCAGACTCTGCCTCTGCCTTCATCCGGCCTTTCCGGTGTGCTTCCTACAAGGACAGCTGTCCTGGTAGCATCCAGGTAACCCTGGCCTCTCAAGACCTTCAGCTTGCCTTTATAAAAGCCCCTTTTTCCTAGGAAGTTAGCATGCAAGGTTTCAGCGATTTCACATGAACATACCTTTTTGAGGTGACATTCAGCCTGCTCTAGGGCAGGATGTGGGATCAACCCTATTCCCTCAGACAGCTCCCCAGCCCCTCCATTAGTGTCTCCTGCCCTAGGTGGGTGGCTCCACTACACTTTCCACTGGCAATTGAGTCTTCATCGGGCCACACCTCCAAGGATAGTATTGGAGAGCAGGGGGTTTGGCTGAGGTGGAATCAGGCCACTCTTGGGCGTTCGGTGACAGCCCCTCTGCTGCCAGGTGACTTTAGCCTCTGCAGAGGACCTCGTGTAGGCACCTCTGTCCACTCAATGTCAGTGGCAAAAAGCCCTGGGGAGGAGTGTGGGGTCGCCTGTCTCCAAACCTCTGTAAACCGTTCTGTTCCTTCCCTCCCAGACCTGGGTGCAGCATTTGACCTCATATGTGATCACGTGGGGAAAGACTGGAAAAGACTCGCTCGTCAGCTCAAAGTCTCAGACGCCAAGATCGACAGCATTGAGGACAGACACCCCCGCAACCTGACGGAGCGCATAAGGGAGTCGCTGAGAATCTGGAAAAACACAGAGAAGGAGAACGCGACTGTGGCCCACCTGGTGGGGGCTCTCCGGGCCTGCCAGATGAACCTGGTGGCTGACCTTGTGGAAGAGCTTCAGCAGGCCCGGGAGCTCCAGAGCAGGAGCGGGGCCGTGTCCCCGATGTCGTGGAACTCGGACGCATCCACCTCTGAAGCGTCATGACGGGCCGCTGCTCGCCCTGGTGGACCACAGGCACCTGCACAGCCTGGACTTGGGTCTCAAGGAACGTAGCCCAGCACTGAACACCCAACAAGAAGCCAGGCCGAGGGAGCCACCGACCAGCTGCTTCTGATCTCAAGCTGCATTTTCTGGATGCCTCTCCCATGCCAGGCCGGGCTTGGCACTGCACAGATATTGCCATTTATTCCTCGCCATCGCTCTGAGCAAGATCCTGTTGTCCCCATTCAACGAGCTCCTGCGGGAGTAGCTGGAAAGTTGGAACCGTGGCCAGCACAGAGGAGTCTGTGCAGATGAGCAGTCATACTGTGTGTCACTCCACGGCGGAGGGGACCAGCTCCGAGGCCCAGGAACTGGAGCGAAGCAGAGAGGAGGGAAGAGCTGGGATTTGAACCCCCGCCATCCGGCTCCAGCGCGCACACTCAACCACTGTGTCGCTCTGCCCTCACCGTGGACAGAAAGGGTGATCTGTGCCATTTCCTTGGCGGCCATCAGGGCAGACCTGGACAGGAGGATGAGGTCAGGTGGCGTCGGGGGGAGACGCGTTCCTGGGATAGGAGTGGGGAGGCCTGGCTGGCTGTGGTCCAGCTCTCGGCCCCCTGCGTAAGTTGAGTCTCCTCAGACTGCTAAGTAGGGACAGTGATGGTCACCAGGACGAATTCAGAGAATATCTGTTAGGTGCTCATGGGAGACGCAGCACTCTCTAAAGCTTCCGTCTTACAAGGATTATGGGTCCTGTGATTCTAGTTTCTTACTATTTTGTATCAAATTCACTCTTTCCAGTAACAGAATTGCCAAGGCAGTGGGATCTTGTATCTTTAAAAAGCAGGCCTCTTGTTTCTCAGGTAATCCCATTAAAACACGTGACTTTACAACTTCCATATTACAAAGAAGTTTCCGTTCCTGTTGGTGATTCTTTCATCTCAGATATGCTGGATCTTCCCAGCACAGCGGGTTTCAGGGTCCCTGTCAAGGGCTGCAGCCTGGGAGGACATGGCCGGACTTCCCCACAGCTCACTGGCCGCTGACGAGCAGCGGCTCCCGTGGGAAACGGCGGTCTGCTAGGGTGGCTCGTGCCGCTTTTAGAATCTGCCTGCCCCACCAAGAGTATCAGAAAGCCAAGTGGCTGTTCTTTGTCCCAGCTCACCAGCTATGACCTTGGGAAAGTCTAAGGTGCCATGCTGTGGATGAGATCTTAGCCAAGGCCACAGGACACTGTCCCCTCTAAGCTGTGGACCCCGGCCTGTGAGCCCTCCCCACCTTCACCTGTGATTTCCAGATGCCAGACAGCTTGTGAGGAGGAAAGGCCATAGCAGTGGATAAGACAGAAGTGTAGCCCTGCCCCGTCAGCCTCAGAAACTTAGCAGAAACAGGCTTTAACCAGTTCATCGCTAGCTGGGGGTGCCGCTGTGGAGCTGAGCTGGCTGCTGTCCCACAGCAGCGTGGCCTGACCTCTTACGCACTGTACACCCCACCCGGCGTGCACCCGCTTCTCAAGGCGCGGCTCAGTGCTAGTTCTGTAGAGAACAGAGACATCACCCCTCGCCGTGCGTAACTGTGACAGCAGCTTGGCTTTGGGGAAGGATTTTCTCGGGGTGAGTGGGAAAGGTTTTTTTTGTTTGTTTTGAGATGGCGTCTCACTCTGTTGCCCAGGCTGGAGTACAGTGGTGCAGTCTTGGCTCACTGCAACCTCCACCTCCCAGGTTCAAAGGATTCTTCTGCCTGAGCCTCCCAAGTAGCTGGGACTACAAACATGCACCACCATGCCCAGCTAATTTTTTGGTATTTTTAAGAAAGACGGGGTTTCGCCATCTTGGCCAGGCTGGTCTCGAACTCCTGACCTCAGGTGACCCACCCACCTTGGCTTCCCAGAGTGCTGGGATTACAGGTGTGAGCCACCGCACCCGGTCGGTATTCATATTTCTTGAAGAGAGGCCGCTCTCAGAGGTTCTGTGCTCCGTACCCGGTGTCTCCCTGAATGCTTATCACACCTAGAAGGAAACCTTGGCCCTGAACACCAGGTGATCTGAAGGGCTTTTGCGGGTGTGAGGGATGCACCTCAAATCTTTTGCTGCTTGGGAGCAACTACTGGACGGGGCCCAGGCCGTCGTCTGCCGGCTCACCCGCGTGCTCCCGGCCAGCGCAGACGTTCCAGGATCTCCCTGTACCGTGGGGGAAAGGGCTCAGGCCTCAAGACTGGAGTCGGCTCCCAGCCCCTCCCTGAGCCCCCACGTGACTCAGCCTCCCCCGATGAGGCGTGGGTTTGGGTTTTCATTCTCAGTAGTCCCACCCGTCCTCCCCGCTAGGCCACTGCTGTCCCCGCCCAGGACAGCGGAGAGGTGGACCAGCCCCTGGCAGCAAAGCCATAGAGCATGGCGACATGCGGCGACCTTGCTGCCCCCGGAAGATGGGACTCAGAGCCAGGGGGAAACACTCATTTGTTCAGCCAACCCATCGATCCACTCACCAAGCAGCTGCCATAACTGTGCCAGGCACTGCCCTGAGGCTGAGCAGCACAAGACAGACAGCCGTCCTCAGGAGACAGAATGTTCTTCCTACAGCAGAAGAGGAAGGTACAGAACACACTCCCAGTGTCCGGAAAACGCAAATGCTTCTGTGGCTCTGCAGCTGGGACAGACGATGGTGGCCAGTATTTGATCATGGCTATTATTTTCTGGATGATAAGCTATTTATACTTTCCACATTTTCTTTGTCTTTTTTTTTTTTTTTTTTGAGGTAGCATCTCGCTCTGTCGCCCAGGCTGGAGTGCAATGGCGTGATCTCGGTTTACCACAATCTCCACCTCCTGGGTTCAAGCGATTCTCCTGCCTCAGCCTCCTGAGTAGCTGGGATTACAGGCACGTGCCACCACGGGACCCGGCTAATTTTTGTATTTTTAGTAGAGACGGGTTTCTCCATGTTGGTCAAGCTGCTCTCAAACTCCTGACCTTGTGATCTGCCTACCTCCGCCTCCCAAAGTTCTGGGATTACAGGCGTGAGCCCCTGTGCCCTGTCCTGCTTTCCATATTTTCTAGGAAGTCTTTTTCATTTTTAAAAAACTGCCAGGCCGGGCAGCGGTGGCTCACGCCTGTAATCCTAACACTTTGGGAGGCCGAGGCGGGTGGATCACGAGGTCAAGAGATCGAGACCTATCCTGGTCAACACGGTGAAACCCCGTCTCTACTAAAAATACAAAAAATTAGCTGGGCATGGTGGCGCGTGCCTGTAATCCCAGCTACTCAGGAGGTTGAGGCAGGAGAATTGCCTGAGCCCAGGAGACGGAGGTTACGGTGAGCTGAGATCGCGCCATGGCACTCCAGCCTGGGTAACAAAAGCGAAACTTTTGTCTCAAAAAAAGAAAAAGAAAGAAAACAAAAACTGCCAGGTACAGTAGTAGGTGTAACCTGGACCGTTTGGTAGGGAGTGTTCCTGGAGAACGTGGGAACGTGGGTTTCAGTCCTGGCTCAGTCATTCAGCTCCCATCCCTCTAAGAGAGGCCACTAGATAAATATTAACAGCTTGCCAAAATCTGGGCAACTTGTTTCTCAGCCTTAAAAATAAGCAGTGAAGCTGGGTACAGTGGCTCACACCTGTAATTCCAACACTTTAGGAGGCCAAGGTGGGCAGATCACTTGAGGTCAGGAGTTCAAAACCAACCTAGCAAACATGGTGAAACCCTGTCTCTACTAAAAATACAAAAATTAGCCAGATGTGGTGACACATGCCTATAATCCTAGCTACCTGGGAGGATGAGGCAGGAGAATCGCTTGAACCCGGAGGCAGAAGTTGCAGTGAGCAGAGATTGCACCACTGCACTCCAGCCCTGATGGCAAAGCAAGATTCTATCTCCAAAAAAAAAAAAAAAAAAAAATTAAAAATAAGCAATGAGATTTCACCTAGAACCCCAGAGGCCAGGCTGCAGGTCGTTATGTTGCCTCGCTGGCCCGCAGAGCCCTTGGGCCCAGCTTCAGCCTCTGGTCCTGAGATGCCGCCTCTCACCCTCCAGCCTCCGCAGTTCAGACGGGGGAGGCAGAGGTAGAGCGTTTCTCTGCCACTGATATGAAAGGCTGCTCCAAGGGGAAGGTGTTCTGGATCTTCAGAACCTCTCTAGGACAAGACAGCCACCCCCCTACCCCCGCCTCCACCCGAAGTAGGAGGCTGCTGCAGTTTTTGGACATGGTTTTGTCCAAAATCAGTTTTGGACATGATTTCTTAACAGCAACTTGAATTTTAAAATTCCATGTTCCTCTTTTCTTTTTTATTTTTTGCAATCGGGTAGAATTTGAGTTTCTCGACTGGGTGCAGTGACTCACACCTGTAATCCCAGCACCTTGGGAGGCCAAGGCGGGCAGATCACGAAGGTCAGGAGTTCGAGACCAGCCTGACAAACATGGTGAAACCGTGCCTCTACTAAAAATGCGAAAATTAGCTGGGCGCGGTGGTGTGCACCTGTAATCCCAGCTACTAGGAAGACTGAGGCAGGAGAATCGCTTGAACCCAGGAGGTGGAGATTGCAGTGAGCCAAGATCACCCCACTGCACTCCAGCCTGGGCAACAGAGCAAGACTCCATCTCAAAAAAAAAAAAAAAAAAAAAGAATTCCTGTTTCTGAAAAAGATACACATAAATCTTGTGCTTACTTGAAAGTTGAAGGTAACAGCCACTACTTGCTCTCTGGCCCCTTTTTCCCCTGAGAAAGAAGAGGGAAGCAAGTCCTAACGGCTGTGCTTTGTAGGAGACTTTAGGGGAATTTGATCATAGCGTTTTCTGGAGCAGAGGGTCGACCCCCGCCATCGCCAGGTTCCCACAGCCCTCCAGCTGCCTGCCCTTCTGCCTTCTGTTTTTTTTTTTTTTTTTTTTTTTTTTTTGAGACGGAGTTTCGCTCTTGTTGCCCAGGCTGGAGTGCAATGGCGCGATCTCGGCTCACCGCAACCTCCGCCTCCTGGGTTCAGGCAATTCTCCTGCCTCAGCCTCCTGAGTAGCTGGGATTACAGGCACGTGCCACCATGCCCAGCTAATTTTTTGTATTTTTAGTAGAGACAGGGTTTCACCATGTTGACCAGGATGGTCTCGATCTCTTGACCTCGTGATCCACCCGCCTCAGCCTCCCAAAGTGCTGGGATTACAGGCTTGAGCCACCACGCCCGGCTCTGCCTTCTGTTACACGGTGCCCCTCCAGGCCACACGCCTGGGTTCTCACGGCCACCCCGCTCCAGGACTCACTCGGTGCTCCTGAGACCACACCCCTCGCAAACTGCCCTTGCTGAAGTCACAGGCTGTTGCAGCTTTTTTGTTCTATCTGAATCTCTAGGGCATCTGACAGCTTTCAGGACCATTCTCTCCAGGAGCTCTTCTCCCGCATGGGCTCCCTCACGCCCCCAGCCTTACCCCCCCACTAGGGAGCACAGCGCTTTCTTGGCCTCACCCATCCCAGGTCCCTGGTGCCTGCCAGGTATCTCTCTAGCCGAGATCATTCTCTTGCCCTGGACCCCAGCTGCCTGGGGGCACCCTCACAGGGGCTGCTGTAGCAAAGCTACCACGTATTTACCGGCTTCAGCAGCACAAATTTATCTTAGAGTTCTGGACGTCAGAGGTCCCAAATGGCTCTCCCTGGTCTAAAAATCAGCGGTCAGCAAGCTGGTTCCTCCCGGAAGACCTAGAAGAGACTCTGTGTCTTGCCTTTTGCAGCTTCTAGAGGCCGCCCACATTCTTTAACTCATGGCCCCTCCCTCCATCTTCAGGCCGGCAGGTGAGCGGCTCCCATCTCCCCGACTGATTCTCCTGCCTCCCTCTTACAAAAACTGTTGTGACTACATCAGGCACCTGGGTAACCCAGGATCATCTCCCCATCTCAACAGCCTTCATTTAAACATATCTGCAGAATTTC